ATAATAATAATATCCATAATAACTATAAAAATAGCTTAAGAAGCATACAAGTTTCAGGCACCTTCGGCATACAAGTTTCAGGCACCGCGGAGGATCGATAATTGGGGGGGGGGAGCTCATATTCATATATTCATGTTATAATCCTTAGAAAACAATGTATTTCAAAAGATCTTAAGCCTGCATATATGAAATATGAATATTACCCAATTATCGATCCTCCGCGGTGCCTGTTTATTATATGTTCCTTGTCATTTTGAGTAAAAACGCGACAAAGTGTTGGATATGAATAGATCAAAATATTGTATCATTCTGATTACAAATTGTATTACAATGCGAAATAATATGGGTCAATTTTGGTGAATCTCAGCAGAAATAGATCCGTCCGCCATTTTTTCTGATCCGCTCCGCCGTTCAGTGGTTTTATTTGTTTGAATTTTGTTTCCTGAAATAAATTAAGAGGAGTTTGTAAAGATGCGTTCTGGCGCCCCCCATATGCCTTCTGGTAGTGGTGTCTTGCCTTAAATCATTCGTGGGGTATTCCTCCTGGCTGTACCCCAGCCACAACGCCAATGGTTCGATGTTTCATAGATATACATAGGATCGATACATAGGCGTAGAAACAGATTTAAATTTGGGTGTGGGGTTAAAGTCGACGAGTATAGTATATACTCCACCCTTATTTTTTGAAGCTTTAGGGAGTCTAGTACAAACATTGAAATTGGAGAAAGTCATGAGACCTTTATAATTTAGTTGTACTTCGTTACAATACACAAAGTGCAAGTATTGTTCAAAATCAATAGCCTAATCGATTGGTCGTTCTATTTGCAAGCTACGAATTCTAGTTCAATGTCAGACTAAGATGTTTTCATTCTCTGAAGAGTTAAAAATGGACCTTTGTTGTATGCAATGGGTACAAAGAAGTTTATGCGCTTTACTACACATACAAGGACGTACGTTTTCATAATGTCGCTTATCGTGCTAATTCAAGTGATATCCATAATTCGCATTTGATCTTATCATAAATTTTGCTCGTTTGCGGTCTTTACTAAATCTGACAGTATTGATATTGTTTTCCTTCTTAAGTCAATTTCTACTTCGTTCTTGAACTTTCTGTAGTCTTTGTGATAGGTACATAACATAAAACCCCTATATGCACCTATCACAAGTTCAATATTTGTATAAGATCAAACTTTATTTGTCAAACCTGAGTTCCAGTACATATCAAATACTGCTAACCGCGTGCAACATATCCCTGTTGTTGTTTCAAAACTAGGTGATATTCAAGAGCCAACATTAAAAAAATCCAGAACTGATCTACGGAAGACAAGAGCCAACGGTATATTTTTTACATTAATTGGAAATTTGATGTTGTTGAAAAGTATGATAAATGTTGGAAAAGTCATTATTGGACGTTAAACTTTTATAGTATTTATTGACCAAGTAAGATTTGTTTTCTTCTATTTTATTACGTAAAGAGGAGAAACATGAAGAATTCCGAGAAAACAAACTGGAAATAGCAAAAACCCAGCAGCAACAACCAGAAAATTTACCACAGCGACCAGAAAGTAAGCAACACTTAAAGCCAAATGAACTAATTGAAAGTATTTTGTCTGAAAATAGTTGTACAGACCTTCACTTTTACCTGATGACCTCTTTACTGCAATATAATAGGGTAGCTGTCAGTCTAAAAGACTTATAGAAGTACATCAATGACCATATGTTAATTTGTTTTGGGGAAAATGAAAAATAAACGTTTCATTTGCCACAGATATTTTTTATTCTAAAACTTTGTTTTGTTATTGATGGTTAAATACTCTAAATTAGCTTATTAAATGATCGTATCCACGGTAAAAATTTGATATAATTGTTTATCGTACCTATTATTTAAGAGCAAATAGGAATGTTTTGTCGTGACGCCTCAGAAGAAAACATTGAGACCGAAACCAGTAACTCTGCAAAGGGTATTTTATGTTTATGTTACTTGCAAAAAATCTGTAAATGCCATTCTTATACCATGTCGAAAACGTGATAAAACACTCTAATCTTGTGAATAAGATTAATATGACCTGATTAACGTCATAGCGTATAAATTATCATGACCAAAACCAGAAATCCAGAGCAATTAATTTATGATCCCATGTATATGATCAGTCAATTTTTAGTCTTATTTATGTCTTATCGTATGGAAGTTTCATCGTAGTTGATGTTGGTGCACCAAAGTTATCAATTATATTTTTATGATATTTAGAGGCAAATCATGACGACAACTTCCATAAACTTCTAGACAAAAGTAAGAATATTAAAGCTGACGTTCACGAGGCTCTACAAAGGTAATTTTTCTTTCATGGGATATCGATTATGTATGTTGACCTGTGCATGTCGGAACATTAAGAAAAATAGTTTTTAGACAATATATAGTTATCGTTTCTTGTTTAAGTTGTTCGTGACTTAGTGGGAAGTATGGAATAGCTCGCCCAAACAAGAAGATGCCGTTTCTTCATTTGTATGTCACAAGCACAATTGATTTTGAGAAAGAAAATTCGGAGGCTGCTATCAAAAATGAGATCGATGAAAAGTTAAAATGGAAAGCATCGAAATACATCGAATTACGATCTAAACCATTGAAAGAAGCAAAGTTTCGAATGCTGTAAAAGCGAAAACTTCATTTATTTACTTTCCACTGTAGATTTTTAAACAGCTAGATTTGATGAGTGAGTCAAAACAGATGGATATTACATACTGCACGTTTTTATTCATTTACATTGTCATGTAGTTACTCTTACTATAAAAACATTTACTAAGTATTTGCCATTCAACATGACTAATTTCAGTACTTTGCCGTCATGTATTTATAAATAAATATTTGTTTGGTTTGCACTTATTTAATTTAATCAATTAAAAAGCAAAAATTCCTGAAATATGTAGTTATGCATTAATTATGAGTATGTAGCTCTTTTGCTCCAAAAAAAAACAAAAACAAGCTTTAAAGCTACCACAGGTAGCAAGCGACAACGTTTCGTATATGACGATCTTGTTTTTTTTGCAAGTGAAATAATTTTACACGTTCTTCAACAAATTTACTCTCGCCCAATACTTGTTCTTCATTTAGCAGACCCAGTGTTTTCACCTAAAGATTATAACCATGTATGCAACTCTCACAAGGTTGAGTACTGCATAACACTTAAGTTTCTGGCTTATTTCTGGTCAGATGACTATACACGTTATGGTGATGAAGTCTGTTGATCAATAACTGTATGACTTAGATAAGATATTTGAGCTTAGCTCTTACGTGAATTGCTTATTAAAGGTCTGTTGCAACAATTTTTCTCACATTACATCTGTGTTTGAGATGTGAACATGTAGTAAGATATAGCTTGGTATTTTGCTCATTAGTTTTGGCTTATTTTTGACTTGGTATATTGATATAGCACACTATCATTTGATTTGTTACTATATTATCTCTCTATGCAGTCTCCAAAGATAAAATTTCGAATGCAACTTTTTGGTGCTAAGACTCAAACAAATTTATTTTCGAAATGCAGTTATTGTTTGACGTGTGATTCCATCAGTTCATCCTGGGGACTCCTGATGATGATGAAGCTTACCTCATCTGCTTGAAATTGGACATAGCTTTGAATGACCTGAAACTTAACGATGGTCAATATTTTACAGATGACGAAAAAACCTTCCACGACAACATTTCCCTTGAAAAACTTCCCATGACATCAATCATAGTTATTTTTATTGGAACTAACTTTTACATTGTCTTTTTAATTCTCGAAAAATTGACAATATAAAAGTCTAAATTGAGTGCCATTGTAAAAGTTTGGTCACTTATATAAACAAGATCAATCATGTTTCCCCAGTCCTTATGCAGTCCTAAATGGCTGTCGTGTAGTAACAGTTATTTTAAAAACATTTACGAGGTACTAACTCCTTAATGATGATGTAATAATCCAAAAATTATGAATATATGAAACTTTTACTTAGTAAAGAACTAACCATATAACATAAATGAAAATCTTACATATCCGACATCCTGTCTTTTGCTCAAGAACGTTGCAACGATACATAAACTATACAGAATAACTTTTTTCCTGTTTGTTTTTATTAACTTTTCGTTAGCAATATGATTTAGTCATTCCGACATAAATACTATGTTTTTTAACGTACGCAAGTTATTCAACAAATCAACTCTAGCAGCATGGCACAAGACTGGTTAGTGTCGTACATGAAAACAACAAAAATGTTGATAAATTTTCTAATTCTAATTGCTTCTTGAAAATTTATGTTCAACTTAATTTCAACTCTCGGCCATTACAGAAACACTTTGATTCCTGGCTTTTCACATGTTACACAATAATTATACATGATTATTACATCACTGAGGTGTGTGGACCAATAACTGCATAACTTAACTGAGGTATTTAGGCAGAACTCAATCGTAACTTGTTCGTTAAGGTCTGTTTGAACTAGCTGCCTTACGTTACATCTGAGTTTGATATATGATCATGTAAAATGTTAGAGTTTGATATTTTCCTCGAGAGTTTTTACTTGTTTTTTTTTAGTCGATGAAAAGCAATATTGATAAGAATCCATGACAAGAAAATCACTGTCCTCCATGCATCTCTATTTCTAACTACTTTTTTAAAACAAAATAAAAACGGCTAAAAGCAAAGAACCTCTCTTGTATGTACGTATTACATGGTATTTTATTTGTCATCATATTTCATTTATAACTGTTTGGGATTCCTTTACATTTTATTGACTTGTTTTTTTTTTTGACGATGAAGACGAAAATCTTTATGATCATCAAGTGAAGATTAGTGAGGTAAGGTCTGTGATTCTTCAGTGGACTGGGGACTAGTAAGATGAATGTAATTCTTTTTAAATGGAAACATCGTCATTAATATTGTCTAGCAATAATATAAATATAATTAATAAATACTTACGAAATGAACTCACATGAAAATAGTTTTATAACCATCAAAGTTGTTTAAGTAAAGGAGAAATATATTATTATAGGTTTAGTATATATAGATTTCACAATGATTCACAGTTTGTTTATCATCAACGCTTCAATGTGAGTAGATATGAGATATATGATGGATATATATGGGTTAATGTTTTTTATAGATCAAATTTCCTCTCTAGGCCCTTGTTGGTTTGTTAGTTTACACCGATCATTTATGCAGTTTAGGAACTTGTGTTTGATTGCTGTGGATGGCAGACGTTTGTGGCTGTTCAAAAGACATCAGGCCATGGAAAAATAATAAGTTTTATTATCGACTGAAGAAAGTAACTGTGGACAAGTAAGATGAATGTTTTGAATTTTTTTCAAATGGAAACATCTTTATTAAATGTTAGCAAAAATATAAATATTTACAAAATGAACTTAAATGAAAATAGTCTTATGCAGGTATTGGTTAATGATTATAGATAATATTTCCCCTTCAGGCTCTTTTGTTGGTTTTGTGCATATTAGCTTGGAATTATTCAAGTATGTAATTTATAATTAAATTTGAATGAGATATAGTGAGATAAGTTGCAGTATGATATTAAATGAAAGCTTGAACAAGGGCTACAAAGTGAAGGCTTATTTTTATTTGTAGTATCACTTGACATGATTAATGCAATTTATACTAAGATAAAAAGAAAAATGCCATGACATTAAAAAGTCTAGTAAACAAATGTCCGAGGTTAGACAAAAATGATGTCATGAGTAATTGTGGGATATATTTCTGGAAAAACATTGAAGAAGTGTTTTAGGATTTGTTTGTGATTATTTCTTTGAAGCTCAAGGAAAAGTGAATGAATTTATGTGTAAATTGTTGGTAATTGATATGAAGGTATCAAGCACTTGTGATATGTTGAAAATGAAGTCTTATTTAGTTGAGAAATTTTAAGCATTTATTATGTGCCATTATTTTCTTTAGCAGTAATTATATCTAACTTTATTAAATCAAGTATTGCTTATTAATTTCAGGCCCATTCTCCAGAAGACATTCCTCTGTTGTGAAAAAATACTTTGGAAAAGTTCGTGCCCTTGCTGGCCAGAGTCCGCCGTATTTTCATGTAAAGGTGCACCTGATATTTGTATTATTGAAAAGAGAATTCCTTACATAAGTTCACCTAAAGCTATTTCTTACTAATAGTTTTCATTAACACATTATTTTGCTATGCAATCAAAAAACACCTCAACTATCTGCAAATGGGCTCCGAAAAAGTATATAATTGTTGGTTTCCGTTATTATTATGCTAAATTCATGTGTATTTTTCATAATTTGGACACATTCACTGAATGAAAATGTATCTGCAATGAGTATTTTTAATGTTTGTTTACAATTACTCATTACTGTCTATCTAGTTTGCACTAATATTGAACTGTACAGTTTTCTGGGAGAGGTCTCACTGGTCTGTTTGCAACATTGAAGGTGAGTTATTTTATTTGTCCGAGAAATTAGGCTATGCAAAAAAGAGAATGGCAAATATCATATCTGTGATGACACTCTATGCAATGCCTTTTTATCATATTTCTTATTTACAAAAAGTTCAAACCTTTTTTCAGTACCCACAAATAATAACAATTCTGTTGTTAGTATCAGGAGTTCAAAGTATCATGACAAAACAAGTTGTCAATCAATGAATTCAATGTTTCAAAATAGTTATATCATTTAAACAGAATTTAAATACCAGGTCTTGAAGCATAGATAAATGGGATCAAACATAACTCATATTTCATCGCAATTGCCGGATGGTCTCATAACAATTTCGAACTGTTAAATTTATGCCTATGATTGCAACTCAACTTGTTTCAATCTTTTTGCGTCTCCTGTTTTACAGGCTTCCCACATGTACGCAAGCGTGCCTATTTTTGGTAATGCATTTTGTTAAATTTACAGAATGTCCGAAGTTTTTCATGAGCGGTTGCAAGGTCAACAAAATGGTGACAGAAACGATAAAGTAAGGATTTTTTCTTTCTGCCCAAGCCATCATTCAGTATGATATAAAGAAAATTCCAGTTGAATAATTTAAGAAACAGTCCATTCATAAACAATTTGTGTTTTGCTATTGGTAGATTTACGCAAGATTTATTGGAATTAATGTTTATTTGTAATAACTGTTTATTTGTAGACGATACTTTTTTCAAACACATTTCAACTTTACGATAGTGAGCATACTGAAATGCAGTCATTTACGAAATCTGCTTAGAGAAATCTCCATAAAGCATGTTTTTCCAGTTGTGATCTTTTGAATTTGAAATGCTACATTGTAAAAGAAATATTTATTTCTCTCAAGGTCACGAGCTGCAGAAGAAAGCATTCGTGCTGTCAGACGGAAGCAAAAACGGTGAAGAACTGGAGGTTGTTGGAACTGTTAAAGGTGAGAGAATTTTTACAAACATAGTTGTGACATGTACTTTACTGTATAAAAACTACACGTTGCTATTCTAGATTGCATTTGTGAATTCTTTCAATACCCTAATAAACATTTTAAGAACATTTCAGGCGTCAGGCGTTTGATTCAATCGCCAATAGTTTGTATTGGATTTTTCTATAAGATAGAAAGTCAGTCTCTTGGCGATTAAATCGAACTTCCAATGCCTAAATGAAAAACTCTTAACATTTTGTTATTACCTTTATACAAAACAAAAGACTTCACAAATTCAATTTAGTTTTTTTGAGCGTAACAGTCTTTAATTCCATGTACAAATCCCCAATTTCTGTTTTTAACACATATCTTTCAGTCTCTTATTAGTTACAGTTAACAAAAAATAATCTTGAACATTTACCAGGAAGAATTCGATTAGAATGATAATAGGAAAATAAAAATAGACAAATTCTCGTTATCGCTAGTATTGAATGAACAAAGATCTTTTTCTTGTTATTTTAAATAGTTGCATCTTAAATAGTTATGCAATGAAGTGTGTCATTGACACGCGTAATATCATTTACCAATTGAACATTTACCAGGAAGAATTCGATTAGAATGATAATAGGAAAATAAAAATAGACAAATTCTCGGTATCGCTAGTATCGAATGAACAAAGATCTTTTCTTGTTATTTTAAATAGTTGCATCTTAAATAGTTATGCAATGAAGTGTGTCATTGACACGCGTAATATCATTACCATTTGAACATTTACCAGGAAAATTCATTAGAATGATAATAGGAAAATAAAACAGACAAATTCTGGTATCGCTAGTATCGAATGAACAAAGATCTTTTCTTGTTATTTTAAATAGTTGCATCTTAAATAGTTATGCAATGAAGTGTGTCATTGACACGCGTAATATCACATTTTTCAATGAATTCTTGCATTTTAGATGAACAGATTATTCTAAATTCTAATACTGTATATCTTACATGCCAATACCCTTAAGGTTTTTTCTTCTCTTTAGCTGTTACATGGTAGCTCCTTGTTTGATTCGGTTATCCAAATTTAGAATCTCATGTGTTGTTTTTTTTAAAATCTAGTCGACTACAATCAATGGTTAATCACAAACATTAAACAGTTATACTATAAAACGTTCCGTTTGCTGTGATTAGAATAAGCGGATTGTGTTTTGATTTATGTTTTTAAATTTCTTGGTAGAGATTTGTACAGAAAAAAGTAACTTCCAATTACGTTCACATTGACAAAGTCACCATGGCCTTACTGAGTTTAAGCTGTCCCTGATTGTGATAGCTTCATCATAATTGGTGAAAGTAAACCATTGCACTTAATATGTTTTAAATGAAGTTTATAAAGATGAAACTTGACGATAGTAGTCTTTTCTATACCTTGTTATAGCTACCTTGTTGCTGTGACAAATTTTTTGTGATTTTGTTGTTTTGTTAGGTATACATAATTTTTAGAATCTGTGAATAATAAGCTTTCCCCTAAGATGTAGCTACTTTGCTACTATTATGATAAATATTTTTGTTTCGACAATAATTTGTAAAAAAAACACTCTTATTTGGCGTGCATCAAATGATTATCGTAGATTTTTGACGATTAACTTCATACAGTTGGATGTTTTAAAACATTGGTACAAGTAACGTTTAACAAGGATGAGTACAATTTCTGAAAATTTTCTTCCTGCGTATGTTTAATTTTTATACATTTTCATCTATGTTAAGGCTAATAATCACGGAAAGTTGCTTTGTTGACGTACGGCGTTGAAGGTTATGATGTTATATGTAATTTAAACGCCTTAATGATTGAATATTAAAACTGTGCAAGCATTCTATTTTAATCTTTTCATTTCAACGAGTGAGAAAGACGAAGATTTGATAAATATGTATTTATGATTGCAGAATTTCCTAAGTTCGATATTCACCTTGGATAATACAGAATTTATAGAGTTGCCTTCAACGAATGAAAAGTTACTTCATGGATGACGGTAAGTTATATACAATCAAATTTATGCGAGACCCTCGTAAATTGTGTGTAAGCTATACATGCAAAAATATGGATATATTTACCAACATGTTATCGTAGAACATACATACACTTTATTGATCTTTTTATCTCGATAATTGTCGTCTAGAGATTTTATGTCTTTATGCACCAACTATAGATATATCTTTAAGGTTTTTTCAGAGTCGAATTTTATTGACTAAAATATTGTCACACGTTTGGTGACTTTTCAATTGACAGAACGTTACGAGTCTAAAGGTGAAAGAACGGAATATTACCCCGACTATGAAAGTAAGTTATACTATCAAATTTATGTATAAGGTACTTATAAATTGTATCTGCCATACATATTGATATGCTTTCTAACATTCAACATATACTTCTTGATTATGCTTTTCCTTGTAATCTCAGGATATTTTACGTCTCCTTGCGCCCGATATTTTTAAGCATTTTCGATTCAAAATCGCTTCATGAGATTGTTTGTGTAAGATAATAATAATATCCATAATAACTATAAAAATAGCTTAACAAGCATTTGTGCAAACTGGACGATTTTCCAAAGCTATAGTTTACAAAGTTTAGGTGTTGAAAAACACAAAATAAGTCAGTTTTAAGTTAATGTCGTCATCAAAAAAGAGCTTTTGACAATTCAGATGAACCTTCTTCGGTTTCAGGCACGGAGGATCGATAATTGGGGGCTCATATTTATATATTTATGTTGTAATCTTTAGAAAACAATGGATTTCAAAAGAGCTTAAGCCTGCATACATGAATATATGAATATTAGCCCCCTCCCCAATTATCGATCCTCCGCGGTGCCTGTTTATTATATGTTCTTTGTCATTTTGAGTAAAAACGCGACAAAGTGTTAAGTATGAATGGATCAAAATATTGTATCATTCTGATTACAAATTGTATTACAATGCGAAATAATATTGGTCAATTTTGGTGAAAATCAGCAGAAATAGATCCGTGCGCCATTTTTTCTGATCCGTTCCGCCGTTCAGTGGTTTTATTTGTTTAAATTATTCGTGGGGTATTCCCCCCCTGGCTGTACCCCAACCACAACGCCAATGGTTCGGTGATATACATAGGATCGATACATAGGCGTAAGAACAGATTTAAATTTGGGGGGTGGGGTTAAAGTCGACGAGTATAGTATATACTCCACCCTTATTTTTTGAAGCTTTAGGGAGTCTAGTACAAACTTTGAAATTGGAGAAAGTCATGAAACCTTTATGATTTAGTTGTACTTCGTTACAATACACAAAGTGCAAGTATTGTTCAAAAATCAATACATTGCACAAAATGAACGAATTTAACTAATAGCCTAAACGATTGGTCGTACTATTTGCAAGCTACGAAGTCTAGTTCAATATCAGACTAAGATGTTTTCACTCACTGAAGAGTTAAAAATGGACCTTTGTTGTATGCATTAAATGGGTACAAAGAAGTTTATTAGCTTTACTACACATACAAGGACGTACGTTTTCATGATGTCGCTTATCGTGCTAATTCAAGTGATATCCATGATTCTCATTTGATCTTAGCATAAATTTTGCTCGTTTGCGATCTTTACTAAATCTGACAGTATTGATATTGTTATCCTTCTTAAGTCAATTTCTACTTCGTTCTTGAACTTTCTGTAGTCTGTGTGATGGGTACATAACATAAAACCCCTATATGTACCTATCACAAGTTCAATGTTTGCCAAAGATCAAACTTTATTTGTCAAACCTGAGCTCCAGTTCATATCAAATTCTGCTATCTGCGTGCAACACTGCATACTTTTTTAAAATAAAGGCATCGATCGCTGCGGTTCTAATAGTAGAACCTAGTCTCGCTCAAAGATTTTATGGTAGATTAAAGTGAGCCACTTCAGCCATTAGTCAAATTGAGGACAAGAATGAGCTACACAATATACCAATACAGCCTTCGGTTCTTTTTCTTTGAATTGGGTCTAGTAACTGCATTCAGATGTCGAGTCATAGGTATTTGCTGCCCCATCATGTGCTTGTTTATGACTGTTCAAGTCAGTGGAAGGTTACCGCGAATAAGGATGTTGTGACTATCAAGTCGTCATACAACTTGGGAATAAACAATTTAATGAAATAAACCAAATTATAATTTGTTACTTTCAAATTACGTTAAGGACCGTTTGGTCCCACGTAAAACATTCAACAACAACAATTTGTCCTTTACTCTAACTAAACAACAACACTCTTTCAAACGTCACTTCCTTCTTCCGATTCCGTTCAAAGCGGCTAATAATACGCTAGCAAAATCATTATAAGAGAAACTTGTAGCTATTTTTGTGGTGTGTCACAGGCAATATTTACAGTCAGCCAACTTCCAAGGATGATAGCTAACCACAGTTGCATACACTTTGTGGTGTGTCACAGGCAATATTTACAGTCAGCCAACTTCCAAGGATGATAGCTAACCACAGTTGCATACACTTTGTGGTGTGTCACAGGCAATATTTACAGTCAGCCAACTTCCAAGGATGATAGCTAACCACAGTTGCATACACTTTGTGGTATGTCACAGGCAATATTTACAGTCAGCCAACTTCCAAGGATGATAGCTAACCACAGTTGCATACACTTTGTGGTGTGTCACAGGCAATATTTACAGTCAGCCAACTTCCAAGGATGATAGCTAACCACAGTTGCATACACTTTGTGGTGTGTCACAGGCAATATTTACTGTCAGCCAACTTCCAAGGATGATAGCTAACCACAGTATCATACACTTTGTGGTATGTCACAGGCAATATTTACAGTCAGCCAACTTCCAAGGATGATAGCTAACCACAGTTGCATACACTTTGTGGTGTGTCACAGGCAATATTTACAGTCAGCCAACTTCCAAGGTTGATAGCTAACCACAGTTGCATACACTTTGTGGTGTGTCACAGGCAATATTTACAGTCAGCCAACTCCAAGGTTGATAACTAACCACAGTTGCATACACTTTGTGGTATGTCACAGGCAATATTTACAGTCAGCCAACTTCCAAGGATGATAGCTAACCACAGTTGCATACACTTTGTGGTGTGTCACAGGCAATATTTACAGTCAGCCAACTTCCAAGGATGATAGCTAACCACAGTTGCATACACTTTGTGGTGTGTCACAGGCAATATTTACAGTCAGCCAACTTCCAAGGATGATAGCTAACCACAGTATCATACACTTTGTGGTGTGTCACAGGCAATATTTACAGTCAGCCAACTTCAAGGATGATAGCTAACCACAGTTGCATACACTTTGTGGTGTGTCACAGGCAATATTTACAGTCAGCCAACTTCCAAGGTTGATAACTAACCACAGTATCATACACTTTGTGGTATGTCACAGGCAATATTTACTGTGAGCCAACTTCCAAGGTTGATAACTAACCACAGTTGCATACACTTTGTGGTGTGTCACAGGCAGTATTTACTGTCAGGCAACTTGCAAGGTTGTTAACTAACCACAGTTGCATACACTTTGTGGTGTGTCACAGGCAATATTTACAGTCAGCCAACTCCAAGGTTGATAACTAACCACAGTTGCATACACTTTGTGGTGTGTCACAGGCAATATTTACTGTCAGCCAACTTCCAAAGTTGATAACTAACCACAGTTGCATACACTTTGTGGTGTGTCACAGGCAAAATTTACAGTCAGCCAACTTCCCAGGTTGATAACTAATCACAGTTGCATACGCTTTGTGGTGTGTCATAGGCAATATTTACAGTCAGCCAACTTCCCAGGTTGATAACTAATCACAGTTGCATACGCTTTGTGGTGTGTCATAGGCAATATTTACAGTCAGCCAACTTCCCAGGTTGATAACTAATCACAGTTGCATACGCTTTGTGGTGTGTCACAGGCAATATTTACAGTCAGCCAACTCTAAGGTTGATAACTAACCACAGTTGCATACACTTTGTGGTGTGTCACAGGCAATATTTACAGTCAGCCAACTTTCAAGGTTGATAGCTAACCACAGTTGCATAAACTTTTTTTATTTAATTTGAACAATAGCATTTTGATCATAGTCTTTTATGGCTAAATTCCGTCCTAAATTTTCATCGTCTTTTTTCTTTGATTTTTTTTACAGACAGAAGTAAAAACGGTGAAGAAGTTAAAGTGATTGCAACACTTGAAAACAAGAGAATTACGTGTAAGTTTTTTCAATCCTGGGTGGGGTGTATTCTTGTCAATATTAAAAATTGGAACACATTCGTAGTTTGATTGAATTTTCGTGAAACTCATTAGAGTTACTTCTATATACAAATCCTCCGATGATACGTATAACAGTGAACAATTTTATTGGGAAAATAAAAGAATATAAATGCGATAACTATACAGTAATTAAATGGAATTGGGAGTTTTTTTGTTGCGTTTTTAACCACAAGTAAGGTTACGGATATCGTTGTGACTAAATCTCGTTGATAACAAGTTTTCAAGATTGTCTATGACGAGTGAAGAGACCTTCATATAGTTATGCGTCACGTGAATCTATTTGTTCAAATAAAGTGGATTTGATGTTTTTTTTATTAGCCACTGCTTTTTCTATTCTATTCAATCAGCATATCCAAATTGATAATTTTTCTCTTATTACTTTTATTTTGTACAGTTATGAAACGTTTAATAATTTACTAGTAAACAAGTGTTTACAAAACGATTGAAAGAACGACTAAGAAAGCATAGAGAAAATGAATGATCATTTATCTGTTATAAGAGCTCACCATGGAATCATATTGGCAGAGTTTTTCGTATGCTAAAATATGATGAAAACTAGAAAGTAAATTCTAGTTAAATGGTTTAAAAAATGAAATACTTATCTTTTCTGTTCCGTTGTTTGGACCAAATTTATGGTGATGTATGTGATGAATAGCCGACTGTTTTTTGTGTTTCCTCTAATGTATTTGCTTATGGCTCACACCAAAGGCATTTTCGAAAGCATTCGCGTGTAAAATTTAAACTACGCCCTTTCAAAACTCCTCCAATCTCCGCCACCAAGGGTCGCCAGGTCACTATATCTTGCTGTGATCTTTTCAAATTGAGAAAATTTATGTAGGTATGAGGACTTGCAAAACAAGTCATTCTTGTTGTTTTGATGCTTGTAGTCAGACGGTAGTAAAAACGGTGAAGAAGTCAATAGTGTTGAATTACTTGAAGACCGGAGAATTTTTTGTAAGTTTTGCAGACTTAGTTGTATTGTACTCTCATCAATAGTCAATATTAAAAACCGGAACGCTTTAAAACGTAAGGTTGAATTTTGCGGATTTTTTCATTCATTAGAAAATTCATTGTGTCAGAAGTTAAATTTGATCACATAAAGCCTGTCTTTCTTCCTTATTTATATGTCTATTTTCCGAGTACAAATCTTCAGATTATATTTTTAACAGGATAATTCTTTTCAACTCACCGGAATCAAAGTAAAAATTTAGGCAATAACAATTCAAACTAAAACCATTTCATAATAATTGGTGTATTTTTGTACAGTTTTTATTCTCTAGTCAAAATGCCGATTTTCGATTTCCAAAAAACAAGGCAATAACATAGGTTTTACTTTGTTAACGTGTATTCATCACAAAAGTGGTATGATATACGTGGCAGGAAGAGCACACGCAAGCAAATTTTCTTATGAAAAGAATATGCTTGGAAATGATTTCAATACTTAGAGTTATAGGCTGATAAGTTTATTTCATAAAGGTGAAGCACCTTATTGATGAGAATTAGAAGAATCAACCTTTGAGATAGTTTATCATTAACCAATTATCTATGCTGCATTACTGCAATCTCGAATAGATTAAATGCAACTTTTGTCAAATGTATATCTTTTGAAGCTTCCAAAGATTCAATCATGCGCATTTCCCGTATACTATCTAACTAAGGCCAACGGATTATAAGAATTTGATTCTTAGTGCGTCTTGTGATTCTCTTTTGACACAGATTCATCGCGCTGTAGACCTGAACTTTGGGGTTTATAATAAGTTTGTCATGTAAGTTGCAATTTACAATGATTTGTGACGTGTGGGTACCTCTCTATTTGGAAACTACATACGAATTAAGATTGGACTGCAGCGAGGGCTTTGTACGACGAGATATTTTATAATTTTTTGATCCTGGTCAACCTCATATACTTCTGTATTAAAAAAATTGTTTTGTTGTTTGGTTTTCTTTCCTAGAAAAATCATTATTTACTACAAATTCATCAATAAAACGCTGAGGATTTTTCAAAGCACGTTTCGGTATTGACGCATCTTTGTTTATGCATGCGCAAGTTTGCTCAATTATGTATTAGACACGAGCTAGAGCAAATGTCCCAATTTATATATATTAATCTACGACTATGTGCAATTATATGCAAGACAGGTATTCGACATAGTTTAATGGTTCTGATCTGAGGAGAACAAAAATGGTAAAGAAATCAATATTTGTGATACCGTTAACTCAAAGATCGTCATATTGATTGTAAATTTTCCAGACATAGTTGTATTGTTTCCTCTTCGCGTGTTTCAACACCTGTGTATAAAAATACGAGGAAAAAAGATACTCAAAAGAAATCAGACGGAAAGTTTTTAATGCAAAATATTATATTCCATTTCAAGTTGTCGCATCTTGCGTTGTCTTCATATGCTAAATAATATATTGTAGCTATAAGAAGTTTACAGAATTAGAAGAATTAAATATTGTCTTGATGCGTGACTTTCGTGACTGTGGGAGTGGGGGTTTTCAACCTGCAATTACCGACAAACACGTGATTAGTATATATATCTTGATGAATACTTTGCATGATGTTACAAAAGTAAGTCTTTCCAGACTTTTCGTGCGACTGACAAGCTCCATAAAAGGAGCATTTGGCCTACTTTAAACAGCCTTAAAAATGGAGCGATTTGAGAAACTTAAAAACTTTTTTTACTAATACGGTGGAAATCACTCCTAAATTCAATGTTGCTGAAATGGGCACTGGAATGAATTAATTAACTTACGAAACTTATCGGGGTGGGGGGGATGGTAAAACATTCATTATCGAGAATTGATTTAATAAAAATGCCTTATCTTTAACCTATTGGTATATAACACCCTACACACACTATACATACATGTTAGTCAGACCTCTCATTTGCTTGCTCTAAACTTCCATAAATGAATTTCGTCTATTGTAATTTTGAAACTAAAGAGTGAACTAAATAAAGCTTATAATTTTGCCTTATATAGTTAAACAGTTTAACTTTGATGTTTGGCGCATAAAATAAGTACAATAAAGAAAAGTTTGCTGTTCACATGAAGAACACTGAAGAACTTAGATAAATTTTTGCGTGACTACTAGAAGAGATCTACCTTTCACAGTTCCAGCAGTTATGCGGATCTTGGAAGAAGGGAATTGTTCTATGAATAATGGCGATTATAAAACGGCTATTGAACATTACAATAATTGTGTAAAAGTTGCAGACGAAAATAGCCTGAAAACGATAGCATATTTTGGTCTTGGTAATGCTTACACACTCTCTAATAAAAGGCAGGAAGCAATAAACAGTTTTAATCATTGCCTAAAGTTTTCTTCTAAAGTTGAAAGTGAATATTTTGAACATCAAGTATACCTTGGCCTGGGAAGTGTTCATTCTACCATTGAAAGATTAGAGGAAGCCATAAAGAAAGATGAAATGGAATGTCTTTGCCATATTGCACTGGGAGGATTGAACAAGTCGCTTGGAAATTATGAGAAATCTTTGGAGCATTATAGAAAAGGATTTTCTTTTATTGAATCTCAACAGCAACAAAATGAACAGCATCATCGACCACAACGACAAAGAAAAGTTGGTGGTATCAACGTTAGTAAAGATTTCGTCAACCTTAACATGAAGAACGTGTCAATAACTACTTCAGCTGGAATTGTCAGTGGAGTGTTGGCTGTTTTATGGGAATTAGCGGAATTGTTTGATAAACTTGAACAATGGGGAGATCCAACATTTATGATTGAAATGTATCTGGAGATTGTCATAGAAGATGAAAATATAGAAAAGCAAGAGAACGCTATGAAATATCTGATACAAATATATGAAAAAGAAGGACGTGATTTCTTAAAGGATTCTATGACAACAAGATTACAAGAATTTCGTGAAAGAAAAAAGAACCAAGGTAGAAAATGCACATGAATTCAGCTTAATTAAGAGACAAATTTGCTAACTAACAAATACTATAAATTTAAGGTTGAAGATTGAACATATCTCCTTTGAAATTCACGTAAAATTTGTTCGCCGTGTTCAATGCTCAGCATGAATTCAATGTGGAATACGCACTCTTTTTAAACGTTTATGCGAAGTAGCTAATAACTTTTCGTTTAGTTACAAAAATTAGTCTTAGTTTTTGTTTTTCCCTTTTGCAAAACAATACCCTCATGATATGAGTACAAGACCTGGATGAAATTTCCCGTGTAAGAGCTTTTTAGAGCCATTCTTATCAGAACTCATTGTTTAATTAAGTAGTCGTAATATGTTTATTTGTTGTTTTTGCAAGTTTTTTTTTCACAGATTGTATCTGCTATCTGAATCGTTGGTGCAATAGGCAAACTCGAGCACTGCTATTTATTTACTATTTGACTATTTAGCTACAATATATTACTCTCTCTATAAATGGAAAACTTTTACTTCTACTTCAGAAATACAGCTGCATGAATGGAAATACAATGATAAATCGACAAAACATAAAAAATTGTTCTTAAAATTAATTGAGTATGGGAAAGACCCTAATGTTGAGGTTAAACATGTGGACGATGTACGTGTAATTTTCTCAGAAGAGTTTTTACTTGGCAAAGGAAGTGATGGAACCCGTGTTTATCTTGGACTGGGAAAGGATGGTTACGGTAAAGCAGTGAAACGAATTCTTCGTGATAATACTTCTTTGGCACAGCATGAAGAAAAAGTTTTTAATGAATTCAATGCTAAGAAGTCGGATTATGTGCTAAATTATTGCTTGAGACAAGATGCAGGATATGTTTATTTCATTCTCGATCTATGTGAAGAATCGTTGGAGGATTTTGTGCTATCCGAATCAAATAATTTAGATTATCTTCAAAAATCCCTTCCCGACATTTTGAAGCAAATATTGAACGGCTTAGTTGATCTTCACAGCGATCCACGTCCCATTCTTCATCGAGATTTGAAACCTTCCAATGTTCTCCGAGACACACAAGGCAAATTTTTGATAGCCGATTTTGGTATTAGTCGAATTATGAAGAATGACTCTCAGACATATGTAAGCGTTGCTAATAGGGAACTCCGCATTGGATTGCCCCTGAATCTTATATTGAGGATAAAAAATTATTTGATAAAGCACGTTACAAAACAAAGTCTGATGTAATGGTAGGTATTGGGTTGTTACTATTTGCAAATTGTACGTAAATTTAATTTTTACATTTTACGTACTCTGTTATGTTTAATTTATTTAGAATGCAGGAATGGTGGCTTACTTTGTTGCAACAAAAGGAAAACATCCTTTTGGTACTAAAGTGTGCATACTTCAAAATTTGTTGAATGGAAAACCTGTTGGCTTGAAGGAAATCAGTAATGTCGAACTAAATGATCTTCTTTCATGGATGCTACAACATAAGCCCGAACTCAGGCCATCTGCAAAGGAGGCGTTAAAACACCCTTATCTACTATCTGATGAAGAAAAGTTTGACTTGCTGTGTGAAGTTGGGAATCAACCGGAGATAAAGATACCGCATTTAGATCATCCTCTCAGCTCAGATGTCCATGAGCAGTTAAATGGTCTCAACAATTGGATGAACCGTCTCATTCATGAATTCGATGATCATTTCAACAAGAAACTCTACGACTCTACATGGTTAGGATGCTTAAGATTCATACAAAACGTTGATCAGCATTGGCATGATGAGCATCGTACAAAACTGTTACCATATATCAAGGAAGGCAACTATAAAGAGTATTTTGTACGGGTTTTACCAGAGCTTCCTCTTCTGGTGCACAGAATCATGAGGTTAAATGAATGGATCTTAAGACCTGACATGGAAAAACGTGTTCCTAGTAAGTTACAGCCATAGAAATAATTCTTCAGTTTTAACGATATTGCTAAATTATATGCATTTTCCTTTAGTAACGTCGGAACATAATAGGGTTTTTTACTTGTTGCAAAAGCAATTTTTTCTTGTGAATCATAAAAATAGTCTCTTTCCTTATAATTTCTTTGCATTGTTTGTCCGGAGCACTTGTAGCGCTTCTGTTTCTCCAGTTCAAAAAATGCAATTTATTTTGAGAGGATTTTTGGTCATAATATTTTAACATTCAGATACTAAATTTCATATTGTATGTTAATGTGAAAAAGATGTGTGTTTTATCCATTGCAGAATCTATTATAGCAGATCTAGGGTTTGCCAAAATGAATTATAGATGCTCAATTTTAAATTCAAAATTCATTCAAACCAATTTTTGGAGATGGAAATATATCCAAGCATGAGCTGCAGCAATTTATTTTGACGTACCCTAGATCCGCCACTGGCTTTATTGAGTTAGAGGTTGGTATGGTCATGCAATGAACTAATCGTGGAACGTCGATTATTGCTCGTGAATTGTATGATGATCAACTCATTTCTACCGGAGTAAATGTTATTTCCTTATCAAAGTAAAAATATCCGTGTTTTCTCATCCAGAGAAAAACACAGCAATGTTATATGTTATGTGATATTGCCAAAACAGATAAAACTGTTAATTATTGAATTTGTCAGTCCTTTTTTAATCTTTCCTGATTTGTACTTCTTCTTTAAGTTCAAGAAGTTTTGCGTCAACCATGGAAATGTTTTGATAAATCAATAATGCATCAGAAAAAGTTTAAAAGGATGGAAGAATATGGACGCGAACATCCAGAAGTTACACTGCTCAGTGAATTGCGTGTAATTTTCAAGGAGGAGTTTTGCTTGGCAAAGGAAGTGATGGAGCCCGTGTTTACCTTGCCCTGGGAAATAATGGTTATGGAAAAGCAGTAAAGCGAATACACAAAGATAGCGACAAAGACTGTGGAAATCGAGAAAAAGAAATGTTGAATGAGTTTAATGCAAAGCGATCAAATTATGTTGTGAATATTTGGTATTTAGAAGAGAACCCTGACGAAGAGTATTTGTACATGATATTAGATTTGTGTGAAGAATCGTTAGAGAATTATGTGGAATCCTATTCTTTGCAAGATCTTCAAAAAGTCGTTCCTAAAATTCTTATTCATATCTTAAAAGGTCTAGCTCACCTTCACAGCAATGAGCGTCCTATTCTTCATCGGGATTTAAGACCATCAAACGTTCTTCGAGATGTACAAGGAAACTTTTTAATTACTGACTTCGGTATTAGTTATATTTTATGCGATGGAGCTGTGACACATCAAAGCATGCAGAGAGGAGCTAGATATTGGATAGCTCCAGAGTCATATGACGCATCAGTGCATCAATTAATAAAGTTCTTTACAAAAAAGAGTCTGACATTATGGTAAGTTCTTAAAGTAGAACTAGAGGTCCTACTACAGCTCAATGTTGTGTTTGCATTTAATTAAATATTGGTATTTGGTAGTGATAATGATTTTGCCTAAATTTTTTTCTTTACCTTGATTGTATCGTTATATAATGTAAACCTATTAATTTAAATAAAAAATAAATTAATTTTTGTTAATCGTGTTACAGTTAAAATTGTATGTTTCTTATTTAAATTGCTTTTAATACATAAATATGGATACAATTCTATTTGTAGAACATTTTTTAGATTTTTTAAGCTGCACATTTATTGTTGAGTTCTGCAAATCGCAAATAAATTTAATCTTTAAGGTTTTAGTATCCACCACTGACTGCTTATGACAATTTTTTATTGAAAATAGATTGCCGGAATGGTGGCTTATTATGTTGCAACAGAGGGAAAACATCCTTTTGGACAAAAACGGCATACACTGGACAACATTTTGAAAGGAAACCCAGTTGGCTTGGACGAAATCAAGGATGCCTCGTTCAAAGACCTTTTATCGTGGATGCTACAGTTAAAACCTGAAGACAGACCATCCGCCAATGAGGCGTTAATACACCCTTATCTACAATCAGACGAAGAGAAATTTAACATGCTGTGTGATATGGGGAACCAACTGGAGGTGAAACATTCACATGGTCGAAATTCTCCTAATTTAGACGTTCATACGCAGTTGTATGGTTCCACAGAATGGATGAAGCGTATCGATGATGAAGTCGTCAAAGATTTGATCAACTTTGAAGTAAACGACAGTTTAAGAACTCTAAAGTACGAGTTTACATGGGCAGGATGCTTAAGATTTCTACGAAACGTTGACCAACATTGGCAAAATGACCCTATTCCGCATCTATCACAATATATGAAGCAAGGCAATTATAAAGAGTATTTCCTGCAAGTTTTTCCGGAGCTTCCTCTTCTTGTGCACAAAATCATAAGGTCGACTGACTGGAAATCCACTCCAGATCTGGAAGAACACTTTGCTAGTAAGTTAACCATTAAAATATTTCTTTTTCGTCAATGATGTAGCTAATCGATCTCTAAAATCTCTATGTGTAAAAAATGCAACCTAGTCAGTCAGTTATTCCGGTTATACAGTCGAAGTGTAAATTTTTTGCGTTTGATTTGTCGCGATATGTTTGTTTATCAGTGCATCAAAGATTGTCATGAGCAAGCTAACTATTTTAAAAATTTCATCTCCGGCATCCTCTTTGACGTTATGAAATGGTTAAAGCGCAAACACATTTTTAACATATACTAATATTGATATGGAGATAAACAAGGAGTGAGTGTTTGCAGTGACGGGAAGCAACATTATGAAGTGCTGGACTAAGTCTTCACTTCTACTATGGCGTCTAAAAAAACACCTCTAAACAATGACTTCAGCTTAGTCTAAATATATTTTTTGAAAAAAACGAGGGCTTCAGCTCTTCCAGCCTCCCCAGATGTTAACGTTAGTGCAAAGCTTATGATTAAATGTAAGGATTTTTATAGTTAGACAAAGTATGACCCTCACACTCCAAAAAGTGTTTATCTTGTTGATAAAGTAACCATTAAGATTTGTTTATATCTTCCTTATTCACATACTTTTGTTTACGGTCAAAAATGTGAGATGTAATGAAGAATGAAATAACTCAGCGAGTATTCCTTTTATCTTGCTATGATGTATTAACCGTGTAATGTATTGCATTAATTTCCAGCTTCTTACGAAAAGATATCTTTGCCCTCTCCCATGAGTGACAACGACTATGACGACATTGACAAAACTCCTTCTACAGCACTACTTGGGAAAAAAATATTTTGTTAGCAAACATTTTTACATTCCCTTTAAAAGTCAAACACAAACAATTAAGAGTTGTTTATATCATGCGTATCATTCATACGTTTGTAAAGAGTCAGATAAGAGCGTTTTAGAATCGGCATCATACTGTAATGTTATTTAATTGCATTGCAAGAAATTAATTTGATTTATCTATTAGATGATAATAACAGTAAAGACATGATTGGTGTTTCGCCTTCCACATCAAAACCTGGTAAGCAAAAGAATTTTGTTAGCAAACATTTGCCCAAACATTTCCATGTTTTTCAACGCTAAATACAAACAATAATTTATAACCTAATAAATTAATTTTAAAAGGTATCGTTATATGTAACAAACTAAAACATTTTAATTCAAAAATAATGCAAATGATGTGGATCAAAATCATGTGAAAATTTTAAACTTTGTAAACATAGAAATTTGATCAGTATGTATAGAAAGTGAAAACTGGCTATGATGCTAAAAGTAAATTGTGAAAACCATCATGATCAACGTGTCAGTTGCATGTATACGTTACACGTACACAAATTAAATTAAATAGAATATTGTTGAAAACATCCTTTTAAAACATATTATTTGATTATTGATAGCCAATAAAAAGCCAATAATTTTGTTTACGAATACAAAGTTTCATTTAGCGTTTATGTGATAGCTAGATGCCCTGATGTTGGATCTAAGTTATCCGTTTCCTTTAACTTTTTTGTGACAAATAACTATTTCAAGAGATATTTATGATGTGTTATGAAAAAGTATATTATTAGTTTTACGAAAAAACTTGCAATAAAACCCACGTTGTCGTTTTTCCACCCTAAAGATTAGAAACCACAAAGTAAGGTAGTTCAACTCACTGGTTCAACTCCCTTTTTGCAAACACCCGGTATTAGCATAACCATGCTTGTAATATTTGCAAGACCGAATAACAAATAACAAATGGTTACGTAAATGCAAATTCTAAATAAATTATGGCTCGCTGAAAGGTTTTGAGGGGGAGTGTTCTACGTCATGGGACCAACTTTATTGTGTGTTTATTGGATCAAATATCCCAAAGTTTTAGTCAGACCGACATTTTTAGTCTTTTTTCCGTTTGTGAACCGACTTTTTATTCATATTTTACAAAAATCTAGGTAGTGTAACATGTGATATACACTTTTATTTTTTTTATCGTGTGTTTAGATGCAGATGATAATTTGGTTGAACATTTTTGGATGAACACAAGCTTTTCAGAAGGTAACCTTAAAAACATTAGGTTCTTTAATTCTCCGAACTCTTTTCACCTCGACAGATGCTTTCATCTTTCAAGTTTAAATCTCAACGTTTCCGCATTTAAAGGGAACTGTACTGCATATTTACATAAGATCGTTACACTAGAATATTTGCATAAGTTCGTTAAAAGTATGCAAAGCCGATGTGGGCAGCAAAAAATTAAAATGCATGCCAAAAAATGTTCTTTATGAAAATGCTCTTTCTGACTTAGATATTGGTTTGAGTCGTTTAAAAAATAAGCGTTGTTTTCAAAATGTCAGCGTTTTGACAGATTGCTATTTTTAACTACTTCCGTTATAATGGTGCAAGAAAATAAATTTTAAAAGGTTTACTCATTCATAAACTGTCACCATTTTACGACGGTGAGATACTCAACTGTGAATCGAATGCAAAACATAAATATAAACTTTGTGCTAGGGATTAATGATGGTTATCTTAATGCAGAAAAGAGTGTGGAAGAAGGATACCTTTGTGAATGTTTGTTTATATATCCGTGTTTATAAATCTGCGACATTCTTAATAAATCAAAGCGTTCTCAACTTTCACTGTGTTGCAACTAAAATAATTTTTTGCTATTGCGCTTGCACACGACGATAATAAAATTGCTGTTTTCCAAATTGATTGTACAAACTATATGCTTGTCTACAATAACCTTAAAAGTATAATGATAGCTATGTATAAAAATACTTTCATTTGTTTCCACATATTACATCATTACTCATGTGACGACCAATATCTTGACCAATGGATATTTTCCTTGTAATCAATACAGAAACAAACATGTTATTATTGAAGAGAAAAATCAATCAAAAATACTTTTTATAATGGAAAATTGTAATTTGTGGTTCTGTAATTTTTATATTTTCTTATATTTATAGTCGGTGTGGTATTGTGATGCGACCAAATCTTAAAAGAAGCCCATAGATTATCATTGTTCATAGTTCATGATAAAGAGCCATTAAATTGTTTTGTTGTGTTATAAATGAAACAAAAAATGCTCTAGTTGCTTGTCACTATATCAATATAATATTTGAATATTATTTTATTATTTATTTTTATAATGCAGAAGAGGGAAAACAACGTTTGGAAGGTTGATATAACGAATTATTTTCAGTTTCGTAAAACATTATGATTAATTTTTTTACTGCTCTCAATTGTTCGAGTTGGAAAATGCTGTTTAAATTTTTTCAATTCTCAGAATTTTTAATGACTATTAATTAAGAATGAAAAATTCTTTTCTTTGCATGCATAAAATGTCCGTGTCTGAACGTAAAGTGCAGCATGTCGTAAGCAACCATTTTAACTATTTCTTATTGTTCCCAATTAAAATAAAGAGAGTTATTGAAGGGATCATTGCTTTGTAAACATTTGTAGAGATCATTGAGTAAATTCAATTTACTTTAAGAGAATTGTCGGTCATAACTTTTTAACATTCGCATACTAAATTTCATATTTTATGTTAATGTGAAAAGGATGAGTGTTTTATCCATTGCATAATTGCTCAATCTAGTATAGCAGATCTAGCGTTTATCAAAATGAATTATAGATGCTAAATTTAAAATTCAAAATATATTCAAACCAAAACTATTGAATTTCAATTGCAAAAAAATTAAACTTTATCAATAGACTTGCCTCTATGTATTTGGAAATGGAAATATATCCAAGCATGAGCTGCAGCAATTTATTTTGACGTACCCTAGATCCGCCACTGGCTTTATTGAGTTAAAGGTTGGTATAGTCATGCAATGAACTAATCGTGGAACGTCGATTATTGCGCGTGAATTGTATGATGACCAACTCATTTCTACCGGAGTAAATGTTATTTCCATATCAAAGTAAAAACATCCGTGTTTTCTCATCCAGAGAAAACACAGCAATGTTATATGTTATGTGATATTGCCAAAACAAATAAAACTGTGAATTATTGAATTTATCAGTCCTTTTTAATCTTTCCTGATTTGTACTTCTTCTTTAAGTTCAAGAAGTTTTGCGTCAACCATGGAAATGTTTTGATAAATCAATAATGCATCAGAAAAAGTTTAAAAAGATGGAGGAATATGGACGCAAACATCCAGAAGAAGTTACACTGCTCAGTGAAGTGCGTGTAATTTTCAAGAATACGTTTTTGCTTGGCAAGGGAAGTGATGGAACCCGTGTTTACCTTGCCCTGGGAAATGATGGTTATGGAAAAGCAGTAAAGCGAATACACAAAGATAGCGGCAAAGAATTTGCAAATCGAGAAAAAGAAATTTTGAATGTGTTGAATGCAAAGCGTTCAAATTATGTTGTGAATATTTGGCATTTTGAAGAGAACCTTGACGAAGAATATTTGTACATGATATTAGATTTGTGTGAAGAATCGTTAGAGGATTATGTGGAATCTTCTTCTTTGCAAGATCTTCAAAAAGTCGTTCCTAAAGTTCTTATTCAGATCTTAAATGGTCTAGTTCACCTTCACAGCGGTCAGCGTCCTATTCTTCATCGGGATTTAAGACCCTCGAACGTTCTTCGAGATGTACAAGGAAATTTTTTAATCGCTGACTTTGGTATAAGTCGAAAATTATTAAATGAAACTTCGACACATCGGAGCATACAAAGGGGAGCAAAAAATTGGATAGCTCCAGAGTCATATAACGCATCAGATGATACAATTAATAACGTTCGTTACAAAAAAGAGTCTGACATTATGGTAAGTTCTTGAAGTAGAACTAGAGGTCCAACTACAGCTCAATGTTTTATTTGCATTTAATTAAATATTGGTATTTGGTAGTGATAATGATTTTACCTCAATTTTTTTCTTTACCTCGATTGTATCGTCATATTGTGTAAACCTATAAATTTAAATAGAAATAAATTAATTTTTGTTAATCGTGTTACAGTTACAATTGTATGTTCCTTATTTAGATTGCTTTTAATACATATATATGGCTACAATTATATTTGGAGAACATTTTTTAGGTTTTTTTAAGCTGCACATTTATTGTTGAGTTCTGTAAATCGCAAATAAATTTAATCCTTAAGGTTTTAGTATCCACCAGTGACTGTTTATGACAATTTTTTATTGAAAATAGAATGCCGGAATGGTGGCTTATTATGTTGCAACAAAGGGGAAACATCCTTTTGGAACTGAACGGTTTTTATTGAACAACATTTTGAAAGGAAAGCCAGTTGGCTTGGACGAAATCGAGGATGCCACGTTCAAAGACCTTTTATCGTGGATGCTACAGTTAAAACCTGAAAACAGGCCATCTGCCAATGAGGCGTTAAAACACCCTTATCTACAATCAGACGAAGAGAAATTTAACATGCTGTGTGATATGGGAAACCAACTGGAGGTGAAACATTCACAAGGTCAAAATTCTCCCACTTCAGACGTTCATACGCAGTTGCATGGTTCCACAGAATGGATGAAGCGTATCGATGATGAAGTCGTCAAAGATTTGATCAACTTTGAAGTAAACGACAGCATAGGAACTCTAAAGTACGAGTCCACATGGGCAGGATGCTTAAGATTTATACGAAACGTTGACCAACATTGGCAAAATAAGCCTCGTCCGCATCTATCACAACATGTGAAGCAAGGCAATTATAAAAAGTATTTCCTGCAACGTTTTCCTGAACTTCCTCTTCTGGTGCACAAAGTCATTAGGTCACTGGAAAACTAAACCTGATCACAAGAATAATTAAGAACATCGTGCATTTGTTCAGGATTTGTTTACACTATCTACTCATAAGTTTTATTCTCTCGCTTTTAAATTTAATGACTTTTCATTTAAACATTTTCTCACTTGATACTGAAGTCATATAATTAATTATGTAATATATACTGTGAAAAATTGTAATCTCCGCAAATGGATATGATTACTTAAAATATTTATAATGGGACTTAAAATATTACTAATTCTAATGTATAGTCATGTAGTGGCAACGTATCCCTCGCAATACATGACATTCATCTTGTTAAATGAATTAAAATTGTATGTTCGTCATTAGTATTTTGTTAAATACATGCATGGCTGCGACTCAAAATTATTTAGATTTTTGAACGTTGGAGGTTTACCTCATCGCAGAATACAGCGAGGAGTTAAGAATTCAGAATTGGATAGCTCCAGTCATATGATCTATCCAGCATCCAATCATCAATGTATCTTGCTACAAGAAATAGTCTGATGTTATGATAAGTGTTTGTTGTGAACATTTAAATGTTGTTGAATTCTGCAAATAACAAATAAAATAAATTTTTGACGTTTCAGTATCCACCGCCACTAACCTTCTAACTGCTATGATGTTTTTTTATTGATTTTGGAATACAGGGATAGTAGCTTTTTACGTTGAAACAAATGGAAAACATCGTTTTTGGACCTGAATGGTTTTTATTTTTTCATAAATGTTTTCAGTATGAAAGCTAGTTGATATTCGCAAATAGTAGAAGTCAATTATTTAAGTAACACTTTATGCAATGAAATTTGTCAAATTTATTCAATGAAATACAGATAATGTTTCACTTCACTCCAAAGATTTGAGAAATTTTTGACAAATCTTCCTTTTCCCTTTTGCTTTTGCTTATTGAATATATCCAAGCTGTTTGTACACCTGCCACATTTCAACATCATGTCAAAATGCTTTATTGATAATTCTCCGCTTTCTTTGTAAACGGAAAACACTCATAGATTTACCATATTCCATTCTACAATCGGAAGATTTTTCTTTCGCAAGCCTGTTATGGTCATTTTCACTCCTACTCGTGTTACAGTTCATTACCGTTTGCATCAAATTATCTCAAGAGCTATTTAAGATATCGGCAAAATATACGCATAGACCGCAGTCCTGTGTTTTTCTACTGTAGAAGCACATCCGGGCATTTGTACAAAGTTGACCGACATTTCTTGCTACATGGAGTGGACTTGGATGAAATCAAAGATGCCGCACTAAAACCAGAAGACAAGCCATCTGCAGACGAAGAATGTTATGTATAAAGTTGGAAAACAACGATCGATTAAAACAAATGTCTGTGTTAGATAAAATGCAAAATGAATGAAAGCTAGAGCGCTTTCCGACACCCGTGTCATAATTATCAGATATTCAACATGTTGAATAATTTCGGTCAGGAATGAATGTTTCTTCCAAGTGTGCGCATGAAAAGCTATCGCTTCAGCAAATGTAATCTTTACGCATGCTCTGTCTACGGTAATATTTGTTATTCAAAGCAGAATGGCTGCTGGTTATGGAATGTTTGATTCGTCATCTGGTGTAGAAGACTAAGAAATGTTGCTTTTTCCACTTTTATTGCGGCTACGGCTAAGGCGTTTGAAAGCAGCTAAATCAACTACATGGACAAAGTGTGGGATTTCTGGACGGCCTACACAGGGAGCTACAAATATTGTCCGTGAGCTGGATGCTGAAGATGCTGAGCAGTTTCGGAAGTATCGTAGATTGGATAATACCGCTTTCGATAAATGAATTTGGTCTTCTAACATTATATCAGCTATCATGTTTGTGCCGCCATCTTCGTCCAAAGTATAAAATGAGTTACTTTGCGCATGCGTAAAGTTACATTTGCTGAGGCGATAGCTTTTGATGCGCGCTCACTTGGAGGAAACATTCATTCGTGACCAACATTATTCAACATGATGAATATCTAACAAATTTGACACGCGTGCCGGAAAGCGCTCAAAAATGCCGCCGAACACTGGAGGAACTTGCTTACGCCAACTTTCGCGAGTGAAGCTTAGCTCAGCAACAGTATAGTGAATATACAGCAAAGTCACTCTATTGAAATTTTTTGTGTCACGCATATCTTATTACGCATGTGATTACCATAGTGGCAGCCAGTCATTTGCAATTTCTGACCAATAGGAATGATGAAATGGTCAAC